GGGAATCGTGGTGGTTCCATGGTTCTAGAACAGGTGCTATGCTAAGAGCTTTCCACACCTCCCACCACTAAGATAAGGTTGGCAGATTATGGTTCTCCCCGTTTTACACAAGGGGACACTGAGGTTTAGAGACTTTGCCCAAAGTGTGAAGGCCGGAATTCAGGCCACTCATTCCTGGCTCAAGCCCATGCGCTTGTTTTTTCTTTCTCCTAGTTGACTCTCAGGAAATAATTCAAAAGAGAAAAAATATGTACCAAATTCATTAAGATGTTATAAAAATAGGAATATTAGCTCATGGGAACATTGGGCATCAATGAGTGATCAATAAAAGGGCTATAGCAAAACAGGAAAAATCTGCATGATGGAAGGTTAAGGGAAAACGAATAGAAGCAGTATGTCCGACTGGTCCCTGGGGATGTAGGTCATATGTGTGCCCATGACTGCTGTAGATGCGGAAGCACCAGAAAAAGGACAAGTATTCACACGTGAGAGGGGTGGGATTATGGACGAATAGGTTTCTCCTTTCAACAATTTAAAATACAGTTTCGAAGATCCATTAACACAGGAATGAAAAAAGCATTTTGCCTAAGAGAAGGATGTTTTGGGAAGGTTCAGACTAGTCTGAAGTCTGTTTGGGTCTTGCCGTCGGGAGTGGGGGGCTCCTGAGGTTCCGGGGCGAAGCCCCATCCCCTCAGAGAGGGGGTGAGAAGAAATGCAGATGAGGCAAAGCAAACCCACAGACTAGAAAAGGCAGTGATGGGGGCGCTGGGTGGCTCAGTGGGTTAAGCTTCTGCCTTTGGCTCAGGTCATGATCTCAGGGTCCTGGGATCGAGCCCCACATCGGGCTCTCTGCTAAGCAGCTCTGCCTCTCTGCCTATTTGTGATCTCTGTCTGTCAAATAAATAAATAAAATCTTTTAAAAAATTAAAAAAAAAAAAAAAAAGAAAAGGCAGTGATGTCAGAAATCAGATACCATCAGATGCTATGCATAGTGAGAAGCCTCAGCCCCAGGAACATTTCTCCAGACTTTTATATGTTTTTTAGTAATGTGCTAATCATAGCAATAGAAACAAAGGAAAAGTCTGCCAGCGTTAGGTGGAGGGGAAGTGAAATTTGCCCAGCGTGCTCAGGCAGGAATGTACGTTAACTCTGCTGTTCCCAGGGACATTTCCAGATCAGAGATCTGCTTTTACATGGTATGTGTCTTTGACAGGAGATGGCACTGAACACCTTAGCTTTATTTTTTCTAGTCTCCAGGGACGTTAGTGAGTCTGTGTGATCTCCTAGCTAACAGCACTGGGGCGCTTTGGGGTTTCCTTGTTAATTCTTCTCTGTTGCCAATAATGATACCTCCATCGTCTCTGTGACTGCTTTCGAGTTTTCTGTACTGAGTTTTCCTAAAGTGAGAAAGGGCTTAACTTTATTGAGCCCCTGATGAGTACTTGGCAGTACGTCAGACACAGCTGGGTAGTCACAGTGAAACCTTAAGGCATATATAATTCGGGTTTTGTAGTATAAGGTAATGGTTAGGTGTAACCGCTGATGTGTTTTGAGTCAAACTGTCATTCTTTAAAATTATTCTTTCACCGGTGGATGCTTTTAAGTTCTATTTTTGTTGCTTGCGTGTGAACAGTGACTTTGTGGTTTTGGTTTACTGTTGTACCTTCAGAGCCCAAAATAGTGTTTGATAGTAGTTGTTCAATAAGTAATTTTCAAATGATAATTGAAGCAAAAAAAAAAAAACAAAAAAACAGTGAATGGTTAGGTTAGATTTGGGTTCAAACCCTGGCTTGGCCTCTTACCGGCTGTGTGATTTGGGACAAGTCATTGCCACGACGTTCATGAAGATACGGTGCTTGCATTGGGAGGTCATGTTCCAGGAGATGACATTAGTGTCACCTTGGGCTCCCCTGCATTCTGCGCTGATTGAGACCCTGGCCGATGAGAAAGACCTGACAGGACACTGGGCACATGAACCAGCCGGAAGAGGGAATTCCATTAGCCAAAAAGAAGGCAGAGGCCTTAGCTCTTTTAATCCAGGCCTTTCTCTCTGGGCCCTGCTTCCCCCATCTATGAAATGAGATGATTCCTGTATATGAAGTAATTACAAGAAGAGGTGTGGAGCACTTTAGCTCAGTGGTACAAAATGGCGGTTCGCACAGTGGTAGTTACTGTAACTGTAACTGTAACAGAGAGAGAAACTGAGGCTCAGAAAGGAGTAAGTACGTAGTCAAGTTCACAAACCACTGAGACAGCGAGGCTCAGCAGTCAGGCCTCCTTGTCCTTTTCTCTGTATCGGATCCCCTGCTGACAGGAGGGGCTTCCTTGTCCGCCATAAGGGGGCTCAGGCCCTGATGCTTGCTCATTTCCAGACCTGCAAGAGAGGCTCCCCAGGGTACAGTTGGGGAGACAGCACAGCCAGCAGGTGAACTTGGGGAGTGTGGAGAGGCCCTTAGAAACACAGAGTGAGTGGTTTGGGCAGATGGGAGAGCACCGAGGCTGAGGGGGTTGAGGAAGAGTGGCACTGCCTGAGGCAGAAGTAAGAAGGCCTTGTGTCTAGTCAACACATCCGCCTTCCTCAGAGACTCTCGTCCATCGTCAGCATCCGAGGAGGCTCAGGACAGCCTTCATAAGCAGGAATTATTTGGCTGAACTGGAAACTGAGACATACCTGCAGTGGGAGTTGGGGGGGTGCATTATTTTTTAAAGGAAAATATTGAATTGGGAAAGACATGAAAACATGGCTCAGATTTTTTTTAAAGATTTGATTGATTGATTGATTGATTGATTTTGAGAGAAGAGAGAGAGAGCAAACATGGGGAGGGGCAGAGGGGGAAGGAGAAAAGAATCCCAAGCAGACTCTGCATGAGCGGGGAGCCTGACGTGGGGTCTTGATCTCTGGACCCTGAGGTTGTGACCAATCTTGTTGTGACTGACGGAGCCACCCAGGTGCCCCCCTCCCCTGCCACTGCTCAGATTTTTAAAGAAAAGAAGAAAAGTAAAGAGGAAAACTGGGGAGGGTATTCTTTAGCAAGTACTGCAAGGAGAGTGAGTGGGATTGTGGATTAGGAATCTTGTCCCAGTAAAGAGTTGAATTGAAGGAGGAAGCAAATCCCCTCCCATCTTTGCAGAGAGCCAGGCCCAGGCCACTGAGTGTTGAGTGGATACTAAGTGGGCTGGTGTTTCTGAGCACCTTGGCCCCTGTGTGCGATGGGCACTCATCAGCTACAGGGACAAAGAGGACACAGTGGACACATCCTGAGGCCCGGGGTGTGGGGATAATGGCACAAAGCCATTCACACTCCTCTCTGTCCTGGCCACGCGTCTGTGTAACCTGTACCTTCCCCATCTGCACTGTTGCTATCAAATGAGATCATCCCCGTAAATGACCAGGAGCCCAGCGCCAATGCTCCAGTAGTGAGCTACCGTGCTGCTGGTGGTGAAGACGGTGGGAGGCCACGTTCCAGGACGTGTCGTTACTGTCATCTCAGATTCACCTCCTCACGCTGTGCTTGAGACCCCAGCAGGCGAGGAAGAGCTGGGGGGACATGGGGACACCTGTGTCTTGGACCAGCTAGAGTAGTGGATCCAGTTAGATGGGAAGAGGGCAGAGTTCTTCTCTTTTCTCATCTTGCCGCCTCTGTCCTAAGCCGCTCTGAATTCATTAGGCTCTTGCAGTAGCTTCCTACCTGGGGACCGCTAAGTCTCAGTTTGCCCGGGACTAGCTTGCACATGTGGTCCTGGCAAAAGCAATCTCCAAAGTTGGGATAATAATCATGTGGTCTTCTGCTTCCCTTTCTCTGCCCTCTGAGGTTGTGTTCAGTAGCACCCAGTGGAGCTGCCCACAGAATGGTTTCTGGTTTTGTTTTTTAGAGATTTACTTATTTGGGGCACCTGGGTAGCTTGGCTGTAGAGCCCTTTCACGTGACGCTCCTTTCGCCAGGAACACTTCTCCCTCGCTGTTGACCTGGGGTGGCAACAAGATGCCTTCGGAGTCTTCAGCTGTTGGTTTAATGCTACCTCCTCCGAGAAGCTTCCCTGACTCACACATTAGATCAGACTCCCTTTTCTTTTCTCTTCCGCGGCTCTCTCAGGAACCCCATCTCTATTATCCAACAGCTGACTCTCACGCTAAACACTAACCTTCCCTGAAGGCAGAAGCGGTGCCTGCCTGGTTTGCCGCTCTGCCCCTCCCGTGTCGCGCACACCCGGCACACGGTGCCCCACAGATGCCTCACCGACAGGCCGTGGGGTGAATGTGTGTACGGCCCCAGCAGGCTATACTTTCTGAGCCTGTGCTGCTCACGCCACCTGCTTCGGGCCCCCCAATAGCTTCTTAGCACATGTGGGGGAAATGTGGGGTTCTTCCTAGGGCCAGCAAGTGTCTACACGCATTCGGCCCTTCCTACCTCTGACTTCGTTTCCTGCCGCTCTCACCGGTCCTCCCTCTCCCCACCACATTGGTTTTCAGGCCCACTCCCTCCTCAGGTCTGTGCCCCTGCCCCAACATCGCCTCCTCCAACAGGCCCTCGGTGTCCCGCTACCTCAAACAGCTCCCCCGTCTCTCTTTATCTCATTCCGGGGCTTCATTTTCTTCCTAACACTCCTTGTGTTCTGAAGTCATCTTGCATGTTTGTTTCTGGGCATCCCCACCACAGAATCCAAGCTCCCTGAGAGCAGGGACCTTGTCTGTGGTGTCCAGCACGAGAACCTACCTCAGTGCCAGGCAAACAGTTGGCGCTAAAGCAATGTTTGGTGAGCAAGGGAAGGAATACAGGCAGGGGCAGGGTGGGGTGTCCCCCTGGAGGCAGGGCAGGGGCCCCTTCCTGGAACCCAGTGGCCCCTGGGGCAGGGCCTGTGGTGTTGTCATGGCAACCCACTGACCTGTGCTCCCCTCCCCCCCAGAGGCCACAGCTGCCTGCCTCCTGGAGGCAGACTTTTCCTGAGTGTCACTACGGTGGGGAGCCCAGGGCAGAGGGAAACTGGGGCTGAGAGAGAGAATGATGAAGAGGAAATCACGCCCTGGTGCCGGGGGAGACAGGAGCAGGCCTTGCTGGCATGGTTCCACTGGTAATGGCTGCGCCTAGGGGAGGGAAGGAGGGATCAGGGATACCCTGACACCTCCAAGACCTGGGGTCTGGCCCTCCCTTGGCAGCTGGGAGTGTGACATGTCAACTTTTTGATGTAACATTTCTAGAGCTTTGAGTTCCTAAAATAGGCCCCAGCACAGGGCCCTGAAAGACTGTTGATATAAAGAGTGTGGATAACGCCTTCTATTAAAACCCGGTGACAGTTTGTAAGTCAGGCAGCATTTTCCTCAGGTGTTGCATAAGTCAAGAACTCCCTGTTCTCATCCAGTTCCTCAGAAACAAAGCTCGTCGTGTCACTCCCCCACTGCTCGAGAACGATGGTGGGCTCCCAGCTGCCTGTAGGCTTCTCGGTCTGGTGAGTGAGGCCTTGGCGATCTGCTCCTCCCAGACTCTCCCACCTGCCCACCCCCCCTCCCCTCCCTCCTCTGATCCCAGGTCAGTGGGCTTTCGCCTTTCCCAGAACCCACTTTGTGCTTTTGTCTGTGACATGGCTCCCCTGGCCTCTTCTGTCTGGCCGGGGCCGAATCCTTTAAGGACCGGGTGAAATGCCACCTCCTGTACGAAGGCCGACACGGAATCTTCTCTGTGCTTCTGGGGCGTGGTATTATAGTAACAGACTACTCCCGGTTAACTGCCAGCTTCTTGAGGCTGTGCGTCCCAGTGAGAGCACACCAGCCTCAAAGGGAGCCAGACCTGACCCTGGCGTGGCCACCAGCTAGCTGCCTGCCTTTACCCAGCGTCTCTGAGTCTCCAGTGCCTCCTCCCGAGTCAGAATCATTCAGGTCTCTGTTTCAGAGTGTCGTGAGGAGATAAAGGGAGGCATGTGGTGCAGGGTGACTGGTGTTGGGGGAGAAAGCTCAGTAAATGCCGGGCATGGCCTTTACTGTCTGTCCTCGTCACTTGGCTGCGAGCTCCTGGTGGACAGAGACCATGCTCTCCTCATCTTTCCATAGCCCGCAAAGCCACGCCTGCTAAGCGCTTCACCTGCATTATTTCAGTTAATCTGCGGAGAACCTGGAAGGTAGGGCTCTTGGAAGCTTTAGGAATCATCCTGGTGTTACACAGCTAGTAAGTGGCGGGGCTGGGATTTGAAATCTAGCTGTTCTAATTCCGAACCCTCGAACACATTCTCCCTGGCCTGTCTCTGTCTTCTCTTTCATCTTGCACTGTCTCGCCCTTGGTCACTCCATCAGCCACAGGGCCTTCTTGCCATCCTTCCATCCATGATCACCAGCCACCCAGGATCTAACCTCAGGGCCTTGGCCTCTCCGGGCCCCTCCCTGTGGACCTTTGGGAGACTTACACCCTCCCTGCACTCAGTCTCTGCTCAGATGCTGCTACTTCTCAGAGGCCTTCCCCGGGGAGGACCCCTTCTCCCCCATCCTGTTCTTTTGTCCTACTTTACTTCTTCACAACCCACCACCAGCAGCCGAGAGTCTGATACCATGCCAGGTGCCTGCGGATGACGCATGGCAAAGATGGACAAGGTTATTAGACTTACATGTTTAAGGTGGGGGAAAATAAATAATAAAATGAGAATAAGTAAACAAGATATTCTCAGGTCCTGAGACCCTGGGTCTTCCAAAGATATCTTGCTGTAATATATTGGCCCCCGGTTGAAATGTATGTGTCGTCTATTCTGTTGCAACTTTATACTTGGTAATGACTTGCAAAATGCACGAGTGGATGGATGGCTAGCCCAAGATCACTGTCTGTGCCCGGTATGATGTGGCAGGCAGAAGCAGCATAGGCTTTGGAGATGGAAGGTCTGGGATTGAATTCTGGCTTTAATCCCCTCTGACTGTGTGACCTTGGACCCGCCACTGCCATGGTCTAGACCTCAGTTTCCTTATGTTTAAAGTGGGATGAATTTCAGTCTCATGAGGTGCACCAGGAAGCTCAGATCACGTTCTTGGGTCAGTGTGCCCTGTGAACGTCAAGGATTACCTGGCTTTGGGCCACCATCTCTGTTGGGTCCTCCCGCCAGATCATTACCTGTTCCCGAAGCTGCTCTGAGCCTTGGACGTGCCATTTCCCTGATGCAGTTACATCCTGGTTGCTCTTTGCTGCTGCACAGGGACCCAGCCTTCTAGAAAACCCAATCTAAAGTGGGAAGGCTTGAAGATCTGCCTCGGAGGAGTGCGGGTTAAACTCCTTGGAAAGTAAGAATCTACAAGCGTGGTTGATGTCTTCCTTCCTACCCGTGACCCCAGATGAGTCAGGGGAAGCGATGAGTTGCAGCCCAGAAGCCCAACTCACAGCTGTCCGTACATCCTGTGGGACACTTAGAGCACACGGGGTCCTTACTCAAAGATCAGATGACTTATTTTTACAGATCAAGAATGAGGCAGTGGGGAGCAGGGAGTTAGCCAAGTGTGAGCTGTACTCTCTTTGTCCCATGCCCAGGTCAGGGCACAGATAGGGCAGCACTGACCACAACCTGCCTTCTCTTGGAACTTTTGCTTCAAGCCTCAGTTTTCATGTCTGTTAGTAGAGATCTTAAAACATACTGCATACTGTTATTCTGAGATCCCTATAATGTAAGCCGCATTTGTGAAAATATCTTGCATAGTGCCCGGCACACAGTGGGAACTTAATGTTATTTTTCAAAAAAAAAAAAAAAAAAAAAGAATGCACACATTTATTGTGTCACAGCCATGGGGTGGGGCACAGCGCAAGCTACTGGGTACAAGGTGGACAGAAAGGACAGGCTTCCTGCACTCGTGAGTATGGGGAGTAGCATCTGCCTCGCTTTCTAGTGACAACTGCAGGCCAGAAGGCAGTCTTCCTCATGTCTGTGTCACTCACAGCTTTTATTAAAGCTGCTTCTTCCAGAAGGCACAACAGAGACACTCGTTGAATGCTGCTTTCTTTATTTGAAAAATCACCTTTGAGGTACCATTTTGTGCCTTCTGTGGTAAAAAAAGAAAAGATTAGGAAATTCTGTAGACATACGGATCTGCTTATATGCTGTGCATTCTTTGATACCACGTGTGTCAGTGACGTGACATTTCTCGGGACGGTGCTATCAGAGCAACTTCAGAACAGGTGCTAGTGAGAGTCGAAAGAAATAGAATAACACGGACTTCATTCTGAAGATATTTAGGACCTAAACAGAAGGGCCTGCTATGTATAGCAAAGGCTGGCAAAGAAATACATGAATGAACTTAACAAAAAACAGTAATAGGTACGTAGACTTTCAGTGAAAGTCCGAATGCCAGGCAGACTGTGCTCAGTGTTGCTCTGTTGGTACCATGTGCTGGGGACCGTAGAGGACACAGGAGGAGAAGAGAGCTCAGCCCACCCTTGGAGAGAGCATTTTGGTCATAATCTAAGTCTAAATGACAGTTCTGCCTCTTATTAGCAGGGTGACTTCAGTCAAGTCACCTAATCTTACTGAGCCTTAATATTCTTGGTAACACCTACTTCAAGCTCATTACGAGGATTAGGTACGCTGGTTTATGTAATGTTTTTGTGTAATGCTTGGCCCATAAAGAGCCAATGGACAGAGATCTTTATTATTATTATTAAATCACATAATCTTCAAGTAAATAAGTTAGATGAACACAGCACTTTATTAGAAATGCAATATTCCTGTCGCTCTGGTTGAGTAATTCTTGATCTTTGTAAGACCAAAATTCATTGTTAATAGTTTCCAAGTAGATGAAGTTTCCTGCAGGTGACCTGAAGAGAGGCCTTGCAATCATGTGGACCAACCTGACTTAGGGGGCGTCAGCTGCAGATGCTGCTGTTGAGAGACCCGCCAGGGAGGAGGACGAAGGTCAATGAGCACCTGCGGATCCAAGGCCGGTGGCCTTTTTAGATGTCCCAGTGACATCTGATGTAAGACCTCTGAATGCTCTGAGAACTCCAGATGTCCAGAATAGCAGATGCTTCTGCCATATTTGGCATTGCTGGGACCATGGTCTGGACCCTCCAGAGTGCATCCTGGATGCCACAGGTGCAAGTGGCCATTGATGAGCTAGAAGACAGCCAGATGCAGGTGGACTGGATGGCACGGAAGTGGGAACAGCTCTCTCCAGGCAAGAGCAGAAGTGAGTGGGGGTACTTTGACCAGAAAGATGGAGCTGCGGTGGCTGTCTTCTGATCTGTGCCGTGTGCATGAGAGGCCACCCTACTCTGTGTTGCCCCGGGGAGAAGTGTAGCAGGGTGGCTCCCGGCATGGGCCATGGTGTCGGAGAGACCTGAGTGGGTGCTGTGGGTGGAGCAAACGGTTACTTAGTGAGTTTTCTTCTTTCCTTCCGGCACGTCCAGTCCCCTCTCTCTTCTCATCACTCTGCTCTCATTTCTCTCCAGTGTTGGGCAACCGGGTGGGGGGAGCACAGCCCTCTGGAAAGTTCTTCCTTGACTTGAACTCTTGCGGGCTGGTGTTGCGTTCTCTTGGCCGTGGGTGTTCAGAGCTATCTCCCTTCCAGAATGTTAGCAAGAGTTCTTCAGAGAGTGCCCTGCCAACCACTGGGGCTTCTCACCTGCAGGAACTGGCCCTTTTGAGGACTCCAATGTTAATAGGCCTGATCTTTTTTTTTTTTTTTAAAGATTTTATTTATTTATTTGACAGACAGAGATCACAAGCAGGCAGAGAGGCAGGCAGAGAGAGAGGGGGAAGCAGTCTTCCCACTGAGCAGAGAGCCCAACGCGGGGCTCAATCCCAGGACCCTGAGATCATGACCCGAGCCGGACGCAGAGGCTTAACCCACTGAGCCACCCAGGCGCCCCAACAGTCCTGACCTTGACACAGAGGAATGGGTGAGAGGGAGAGTATTTCTCTTAGTTCCCTGTGTCTACTGAAAAGGGTGTATGTGTGTGTGTCTGTGTGTGTGTGCACGCGCATACACGTGTGTGCACGTGCACGTGCATGTCCATACGCATGTGAGAGTCGCTAGATGTGACTAGCTAGGAAGACCAGGGCGGGCTCGAGAAACAACAGCAGTTGCTCTCACCGGGGTGCTCTGGTAGAGGAAGGGGCAATGGATTTCAGGAGCTGCCATCCCAAACCAGCCGCGCCTGCCGTCAAGGAAAACGGGCCAGAACTCGAGGGGATTAGAAGATCCAAGTGGAGATATTCTAGAGTGTCCTGAAAAGAATTCTGGAGATTTGTACCCCGAAGCATCTTTGGAAGCAGTGTGATGACAGACACCCACCTTGTGTCATCACACCTTTGACAACCTAACAAGCCACTTGTTTCTGCGTTGCACAGTTGGTGTCTGGAAACGGGTGGCATTTTAATGGTTTGAATTTCTCTGCGACTCAGTGTTTCCTCAGAAATACCAGCTTTCCATTTCCTCTTAACAAGCTGGCTCCAGTTCCTCCCCTTGGATATTTCCCCCTACTTATTTACAATTTAGGGAGCAGCTTTTAAAAGAGCAGTTTGTTGGGACATAAAACGGAAAACAAAACCCCAACATTTCTCCCTGCTGTTTGCGTTTGCTTCTTCCCTGTCCCCCCATGCCCACCCCCACCCCCGCCCCACGGTTGCCAGCATGCCTCCTTTCTGGAATATGTCACCTACAGTGTTAACTCATGATCTTGTCCTTGGCTCTTTGAATTACAAGGAGTGACATGACTTAAATCTCATGCTTTCTAGGAAGAAAAACGGAGATTAAAATCTTTCCTTCTGGGAGTTGTCAGAATTCTGTGAGATGACATAAGCAAAGTGCCTGGCAGATTAGAATAGGTGCTCAGTTAATGCCAGCTCCTAAATTCTAAAGACAACACGGTGTGGGGGAGACTGCCCCCTGCAGAAACACAAAGCTCTAGTCAGCTCTGCTCTAACACCATATAGGCATTCCCCCAAATCACTACGTTCTACAAAACAACATGATAGAAACCAGTTTACTAGAAAAATAAACGAGGGGCTTAACACTCGAAAGCTCTTTCAGTGACACGTTAAAAAAATAGGAGTCTAATAAAAATGACAGCAGAGTTTTGCCCACGTTAATTCAATGTTTAAGAGGTGCAGAAATACAATTAAGCCTGGCATTTCACCTTGGAAAAGACCTGAAGTCTGATTTGGAAGTGGATGTCCGAAAGGCTGTCACTTACGGGTTACGGTGAAGTGGTAGAAGGTGGCTTATCCAGGCAGGTGTGGCTCAAAACACGCGTGGTGAGCTCAGGTAGCTGGTAGATGTCTCGGGCTTGAGCATGTGGGATTTTTGCACATTCCTGTGGCTGGGGGGTTTGGTTCAGCTACGTGTGGTTTTCTGCATTCACCTGATGCTTCTTAGGGAAGAAATGAGTGTTAGCAAACACAAAGTTTGCTGTCTGCTCAGATCATTTCCTAATGTATTACCTGCACGGGAGCGCATGCTTATTTTCAAAACAAGCATTGTAGGAGAACGGACTGCAGTTAGCGGATGTCGTTGAATGAATGAAGGAGGGAGCGGTAGCTGGTCTACTCAATGGACTAAACATCGTGCTACATTGTGGAAAGTACTTTTGTAGACTTTGGGATCTGATGAAAAAAAACAGAGTCTTTTGGATTTTGAAAGTACTACACACCTGTTATATAGCTTTTAATATCTCCTCCCACAGTGGTTTTGGGGCTATGCTTGGAAGCGCTCCTTGGGCGGGGGGGTGGGGGGCGGTGGGAAGGGTCACCAGGCAAAGGGAAGGGAGCTGTCAAGTTCCCTGCCCTCCTCCTCCAGTTCATCCAGAACCCTCAAGTTATATCTCTTTTCCTTTTTGTTTTTCATTTGAATAAAGGGTTCTGCTGCTAATTTATCCATAAACCACCACCAGTGGTTTAGTAGACCAAACTTTGTTTTACAAACAACTTCTCGATGCAAAGAAAGATAATCCTCAGTTGGTACTATTGGGATGTGACTACTCCAGAAGTAGTAGAATCTGACCAAGAAATACTCAAGGGGGCTTCAGTCATCATTTTGTCTCCTCCGCAGTGGCACCCATGGGGCTTTGTGGAAAGCCCAGCTTCAGCCAGGGCAGGTCTCAGATGAAAACCAATGGGCAGTTGAGTCGAATGTGTTTATGATGTTCCTGCTTCTTCACAAACACCAATAGCAATTCTGCAATTCTGTGATTTTCTTTCCTCTTTCTCTCTTTCTTTCTGTTTTGTTTTTTGTTTTTTGTTTTTTTTTTAGAGAGCTGGATTGAAAGATGTCTCAATGAAAGTGAGAACAAACGTTATTCCAGCCACACATCTCTGGGGAATGTTTCTAATGATGAAAGTAAGTGCTTGAAATTCCTTCTTCCATCATGTCCTAGACACGGCCAGTGTCCTCATGGGAGGGATGGTGTTTCTCGAATGCTAGGCTGGGGCAAGTCACCTGGGGCAAGAGACTCTGAAGCCATTTAGGGAATACACTAGCCCCCCACCCCGGCATATTCTGCGCTGGGGAGTGCAGTGCAGTCAGGTAAACACAGAAACGAGCCACAAACACCTTCTGTTTACACGTTCATATCGGCTGAGTCCCCAAAGACCGTGTTACAGTGACACTCCAGTTGGGCAAATGTGGACCCTGAATGGGAAAGGCCATTCTCTGTGTCCCTGTAGATGCAGGATTAAATCAGTGTGTCATGGGATCGTTGTTTCAGAGTCAGAAATGTCCTCGCTCTTTGAAAGTAAAGATTTCTTCCCGATCTTGGACTAGAGATTTGGGAGTTAATAAGAAGGTATAAACTGCTGTGTTTACACCTTTCCCTGGGTTATGTCAGATTGGGTCTTCTGGGGACCTCGCATTAAGACAGAAGACTGATGGGGGCTTGTTTTTGCCCCCTAAACACTGAAAAGGGGGAGCAGCTCATCATAAATGTAATTTCCAGCAGGGACAGAGTGCCTTTCTCCCTTGGCTGGTAAAGTACATCGCCTTAGTGCAGCTTTCTCAGAGCATGGCCCAGGGACCATCTGCTCCACAATCCCCAACAGTGTTTGCTGGACATGCCAAACAGCTTTCTTCCAGGTTCCTTCTGGCATTGTCATTCTATCATCATTTTATAAAATTTTTTTTTATATAATGATTTTGCATCATTTTATAAAATTGAGATGAATTGAACATAAAGTTTATAAACCTTATGTGAATGGTCTGATGAATATCTTTTGTTCTCTCATTTTGCATCTACTTATGTAAGCACCACCCAGAAAAGAGGCAGAATGTTTCTAGAACTCTGGGAGGTTCCTTTGTGTCTCATCCCTGTTAATAATCACTATCCTGAATTTTATCACTATCGTTTGAGTTTGCCCGTTTTTGAAGCATTATATAAATGGACTTATAGAGTCTGTATTCTTTTGTATGTAGCTCCTTTCACTCAATGTAATATCTGTGAGATGCAGCCACACTGTTGTATGTAGCCGTACCTTTTTATTGTTGTATAGTATTCCACTGTGGGCATATGCCACAGTTTACACATCCATTTAAATGTTGATGGTACATAAATTGTCTCAAGTTTTTATTTATTTCTTAAGCATCTCTGAGCATTCTTTGTCTTGTGCTAAAATACATATAACATAAAATTGGCCATTTTAATCATTTTAAGTGTACAATTTGGTGGCATATTAAGTACATTCATCCGTTACCACCATCCATCTCCAAAACTTTTTTCATTTTCCCAAGCTAAAACTCTAACAGTAACTCCCCATTCCCATCTCCCCCGTCCCATCTCCCAGTCCCTGGCTATTACTGTTCTACTTTCTGCCTCTATGAATTTGACTATATAAGTAGAATCATATAACATTTGTTTTTGTGTAACTGGCATACTTCACTTAGCATAGTATCTTCAGGGTTCATCCATGTTGTAGTGTGTATCAGGAATTTCCTTCCTTTAAAGGCTGGATGACATTCCATTTTATGTGTATACCCCATTTGGTTTATCCATTCATCCTTCGATAGGCATTAGGGTTGTTTCCACCTTTTGGCTCTTGTGAATAATGCCGCTATGAACATGGGTATGCAAATATCTGCTCAAGTTCCTGCCTTCAGTTCTTTCGACTGTATACCCAGGAGTGGAATTGCTGGAATGTGTGATAATTCTATTTTCAATATTTCGAGGAATCACCATACCATTTTCCATACCAGCTGCACCATTTTACGTTCTCGCCAGCAAAGCACAAGGGTTCCAGTAGCTCCATATTCTTGCCAATATTTGTTATGTTGTGTTTGTTTTTTTAAAGTAATAACCATCCTAATGCATGTAAAGTGGCATCTCATGATTTTCATTTGTACTTCACTCGTGATTAGTGGTTTGAGCATCTTTTCATGTCCTTATTCATCATTCACATATCTTTCTTGGAGAAATGTCTGTTCAAGTCTTTTTACCACTTTTTAATTGAATTGTTTATTTTTTGTTGTTATTGAATTGTTGGATTTCTTTATATATTTTACATACAAACCCCTTATCAGATATATGATTTGCAAAATTTTTTTTCCATTCCATGGGTTGCCTTTTACTCTGTTGGTTGTGTCCGTTGACACGCAGAATTCTTATTTTGATGTAACCCAGTGTATCTGTTTTTCTTTTGTTGCCTGTGCTTTTGGTGTTATATCCAAGAAACCATTGCCAAGCCCAACATCAGGAAGCTTTTCCTCTATAAGAGTTTTATAGTTTTATCTCCCATGTTTAGGTATTTGACCTATTTTGAGTTAATTTTTGTATGCAGCATAAGGTAAAAGTCCAAATTCAGGTTTTTGTTTTGTTTTGTTTTTGCATGTGGATATCCAGTTTTCCAGCACTATTTATTGAAAAGACTGTTCTTTCTTCATTGAATGGTCTCAGCACCCTTGTTAAAAATCATTTAACCATATATGTGAGGGTCTATTCCTGGTCTCTCTATTCTATTCTATTGGTCTGTATGTCTATCCTTATGCCAATGTCATACTATTTTGATTACTGTAGCTTTGCACTAAGGTGTGTGTGTGTGTGTGTGTGTGTGTGTGTGTGTGTTGCATGTGATCATCTTGTCCAAATGCTCTGACTAAGCCTTCCAGGACTATGTTAAATAAACTGACAGAAGTGAGTGTCCTTGTCTTGTTCCTGATGTTAGAGGAAAACCTTTCTCTCTTTCACCATTGAGTCTGATGTTAGCTGTGAGTTGTTTGTATGGGCTTTTAGTGTGTTGAGATAGTTTTCTCCTATTTCTATTTTGTTGGGTGTTTTATCATGAAAAGGTGTTAAATTTTGCCAAATGCTTTTTTCATACCCATTGAGATGACCATGTGGCTATTCTGTTAGTATAGTGTTCACACTGATTGATTTTCCTATGTTGAACCATCCTTGCATTTGGGGAATAAAAAACCGCACCTGGTCATGGTGTACAGCCCTTTAACACACTGTTGAATTCTGTTTCCTAGATTTTGTTGAGGACTTTTGCATTAATATTCATGAGGGCTATTGATCGGGAGCTTTCTTTTCTTGTAGTGTCTTTGTCTGGACTTGGTATCAGGGTAATGCTGCCTTCATAGAATGAGTTGGAAAGTGTTCCCTCCTCTTCCGTTTTTTGGAAGACTTTGAGAAGGATTAGTGAACATTCTTGTAGATACTGCTTTTGTGATCTGCCTGCTCACATCCTTTGCCTGTTGGTTTCTTTTTAAGTTGTGCTGTTTGTCTTTTCCTTAATGATTTGTAAGGGTTGTTTTTATATTCTCAGGAGGAGGTATTTGTCAGATAAAAGTATTGCAAACATCTCTGAGTTTGTAGTCTTCCTTTCATTCTCTTAGTGGTATTTTTTTGGTGAACGGAAGTTCTTAATTCGAATAACATCCCGTTTATCAGTGTTTTTCTTTTGTAGTTAGGCCTTTTGTTTTGCATTAAGAAATCTTTGCCTACCTCTGGGTCATTAAGATGGTTTTCATATTATTATCTAAAAGTTTTATTATTTTGCCTTTTACTTTTATATCAGAAGTCCATCTGGAATTTTTGTATATGGTGTGAGGGAGGAGTCAACAACAAAAAATAAAAAAATTTATTTTTAATTTTTGACCGATAGAGCACCTTTTGTTGGGAAGAATCCTTTACCCACTGGCTGTAAATCAGGAGACTACACATGTGGATCTGTCTTGACCTTTATTCTGAACCATTCAGTCTGTTTTTCTGTTTTGGGGTCATAAGATTCTTTAAGATCTTTTTGGTTAATTTAAATTATTAACATTTCTATACAAATTTTAGAACCAGTTTGTCAATTGTCACAAAAATCCACAGGATTTTGATTGAGATGACACTGATTCTACATCAGTTTGGGAAGAATGGACATCAACATCAAATTTCCTGTCTGTGTGTGTGGCCTCACACTTCCATGTATTAAATGGCCTTTAATTTCTCTCAGCAGTATTTCATAGATTTTAGTGTAGAGGTTTTGTACATCTTTCATTAGATTTATTCCTAGGTAATTGGTGTTCTCCAGTGTGCTTGTAAGTAGTCGTATTTACAATTTTTTTCTCATTCTTTGTTGCTAGCATATGAAAATGCAGTTGATTTCTTAGAACATGACCATATCCAGCTGCTTTGCTAAATTTGCTTATTAATTATGAGTTTGCTTTTAAAATTTTTTCAATGGACATGATCATGTCATCTGAGAATACTGAGAGTTTTCCATCTTCTTTTATAGTCTGTATGTTATTATTTTTCTGTGCTTTAGAGACCTTAGAGCAACGTTGTGTTGAACTGGTGATAGCAGACACGCTGTCCTGTTCCTGACCTAAGGAGGGAAAGCATTTTGTGTTCCAGCATTGAATGTCAGACTTGCTGTGGATTTTGTTTGCAGGTGTTCCTGATCAAATCCCTGGTTTGCCGAGAGATTTTTCTTGAATGTATGTTGACCTTCATTAAATGTTTTTCTGCCTCTGTTGAGATGATTGTAGTTTCTCTCCTTTATTCTATTAATATGGTGTATTATATGGATTAAATTTTGAAAGTTAAGCCAATCTTCCATTCCTGGCATAAATGGCACTTGGTCAGATATATTATCTTTTTTTTTTTTTTTTATCTATTTCTAGGTTACATTACTTGTTTTGTTAAGAATCTTGGTACCTGTTATTTATAAGATTTTATTGACTTCTGATTTTTCTTTCTTATGATTCCCTTCTCAGGTTCTGGTGTCATACAGTCCTTTTAAAAAGAGGCGGGAGTTTCTTCTTTCTTGTTTCTTCTGAAGAGTTTGTGTAAGATTGACACTACTTCTTTCTTAAACGTTAGGAAGAATTCAGCATCAAAGTCCTCTAGGTTTGGAGTTTTCCTT